CTGGGAAGAATCCACAACTGGAAAAGATTCAAATATCCAATAATTATGTCAGACTTTAATATGTGCAGTTCATTCACACTCATGTCATTGTTCATAATGCTAATCAAGTTCCAAACAGATAAATAAATAAATAAATAAATGTACCCAGAACTCCATCCCCTTACACAATTAACTTTCTTTACCGCCGTCATGAAAAATTGCATTTTTTACTCTTCCTGAAAATGAAACTTTTCACATTTCTCTTCCTCTGAGCCCAGGAGAAATCACTTTTTGATAGCACTCTTGAGCTCTAGTAAAGTTTCGCTTAGCAGAAATTCTGGCTCTGTCCAAAACAACGCTGATTAACACCTTTGAAAAATAACACATTGTGCTTTCATGGGGGTAATGTGTGGTATTATTTATTTGCCAGACTTAATAACTCTGTGGTTATTATACCAGCGTATAACTCACGAGGAGTTTATTACCTTTGAGCAGAGCAATAAAGTTTCCGCTTTATTTCCACTCATTGTGGCGTCGTGTTTTCTCATCAAACTCCCAGCAAGAAAAGCACGTAAGTATATTTCCCAAAAAGGCCATAAACTATATTTACGGATTTTGTATTTGATGTTATTCTGTGAACAACCAGGGGACAAAAGTGGGATATAAAGAAAAAATTAACCACGATTTCACTAAAAGTCCACTTGGATCCTTTATAAGTGTTATTGACTGATGAAAACTGAACTTTTTTGGTAACAGAAGTAGGACATTTCGTTTGCATGTTTACGAGATACACCGACTCACATGCTAATGGGCTTTGTGGCAGGAGAGGGGATGATCAAAACATACATCATGAACACAAATGGCTATAGAACATCCTGTTTAAAGCTTTACGGCCATTAGAGCTGTAGTGTCTCCTCTCACTGCTTGTATCATTCACTCTCACTGAGAAGATGTGTATGGAGGACACAAGCTGCCAAAATCATATATAAATATATCAGGCTATGTCATATATAAATGACTATGACTCATTTTTGACTTTAACAGTCTCTCACATCATCCCAGATTAATTTCTACCCACTCTTCTTCACGACAATTCAGCTCATTGAGTTTTGTGGGTATTTGTTAATGCACAGCCCTGTTAAGTAACACCACAGCTTTTCAGTCGGGCTGGGGTCTGAACATTGACTGAATCGTCTTTTCTTTTTCAGACTGTGTAGACTGTGTTTGGCATCATTGTCCTGTTTTGGCCAAGTTTTAGCCGTCAGACAGATTGCTTCACATTTGAGTCCAGAGGACGTCATGGTCGACTCAGTGACTGCAAGGTGCCCAGGTATGCGGCTGCATTATGGCCACACATCTCCACTCAGAAGCAATCTGGTTCAATCAGATGCAGCTTTCCAGGTAACCATTCAAAACAAGCCATACTTGTTGATTCTTTTCTTCTAATTGTGCTGTCATAACATGCTAACTGAGGCCTGTGGAATCCCAGATGTGGGTTTTGGGGTATTTTACAGTTTCTCTGAGCAGTGCACGGTCTGACCTTGGCACGAGTTTGCTGGCACGTCCACTCCTGGTAAGACTGTGGCATTGTGTTAACACGCCTGCGAACTCCTGACGAGCAAACTGCCAAAAGTTCTGCTTTTATAGAGGTGGGAACCCCACTGAGCAGTTGATCCAGTGCATTTGATTTGAAGCAGTTGGCTGCTACTGACCTTCTTAATTCCTATGGAAGCAGTAGCGATGTATATCATACTATAGTGATCGTAGCGTATGGATCTATATTAGTATGTTCCCTATCTCCTCCTAGACGAGTGGACCAATGTTGATGAAACTTTGCATAAACATTCCCTCTGGGACTGAGTGCGAACATCTATATGGTGTATACAAATATTTTATACAAATACTACATATATTTGCACATTTGACATTTCAACTGAGCACCAAACGGCGACATTACATCTATATTCACTGTGTACACGTTTGAACGTATTTTAACTGCCATGAGAGATTTAGAGGCGTATTAGATCTTCTGTATCTATGATTCATCATTAATGCTACAAAATATTGTAGCATGAATTAGCATTGATTAAAAACTATTATAGTTTTACATAATTATCAGTTTTAATTAGCTATTTTATTATTTATACATTGAGGAGTATTTTGTAAATGAAACAGAAAAGTAAAGTATGAGAGGTGAAAGTCACTATTTTACACTTCATGTCTATTTAATTTTTGATTTTGGCAGTCATAGTCTTCCATATGGACACACTGGGATTACGGCAGATTACAGGAAACTACAGGCTGACTCAGAGATTACAGCGCAATGCTTCCATCACACATCACCGCGCCTCATTCTTTACAATCCTCCTCATCGTTTTTTTTAGAGGATCCTCTGAGCTAACGCAGCAGCGACACGTGTATTTCTTAGTGTACATGTATTGTGTGTTGTTTGTTTGCTCTACGTACGTATTTGTTTAGACTTACCCCATGTGTGGCACAGTTTGCAACGTGTTCATATTCAGTGGGCTGGTATCTCTTGCTGGCTGGCACCCTGCAGTTCATGAACCTGAGAGAGGGCCGAGAGGGGGAAGACGG